CAAATCAATTTAATGTGTGACCTTTCGGAATTTCCTTCTCTCTGATAATAACTTGTCACTATTATTCAATGCAATGTCTTATTTATCTATCTATACAAATATGGTATGTATAAAAAATGACAGCAGACAAGCATTCTAGAATTTTGTGTGTTAGAAAAAAATGAATAAATCAATATGTAAGGCTTATAAAACAAATTAACTGACCAGTTGCATTTTTTAAATGCAATGTTCTCATAAAAGAACTGATTTGGGCAGAGGCAACTATAAAGTAAAGATGCAACGACATAATAAGCCATGATTGAGTAATCAGCTCACTTGTGCTGTTGGGAACTATGTTTCATCTGGATACCCAGTTATCCCCCAGAATTTTAAAAACAAAACTAAATTGGGCTGAAAATTGTGGTTGATCCGTTTCAGTGGAGGCTATTTTAACTCGTGACCAGTGACACCAGTGCTCTGGGATTCTGATCGTGTGGTTCTACCGTTTAAAGGAACTGTCGTGGACATTTTATTTTCCATGTAGGTAAAGATAATAAAAGGCTGAGGTTCCTCACACTACGTCAGCCCAGGCCATACCAGCTCACAATCCCTATGTCTGCAATCTTCATATTCTAAATGTTCTAAATTCATAGGAGTGGGACAGAGGCTCTGGATTAACAAAATCCTCTATAAAAAAACCATCTTATCTACAACCTGAAAGAGTTCTGGAATCCAAATCAACTGGGAGCAAACTGGCTGAATTTTGGCAGAAACTAAAGGCCACAGAAATAAATAAAATTTATTTCTCTTCTTCAATAGCCTTATAATCCAACCCAGGAACACAAAGTCTCGAAGTCAGTAATTGTCACCAAGCCATATATGGGCAAAACTTCATAATCTGATCTTTTATCCTCCATTTGTCAATCCCCTGCCTCACAGAAGAAACACCTGGGAAGGTTCTCTTAACTGTGGCACTGTGATTTCCTAGCAAACACTTTTACAATCCTAATTGACAAACCCCATCCTCCTGTTCTAGTGACCAGCAATTATGCACCATTTGTATTTAAAAATGCAAAATAAGAAAATGAAACTTAAGAAAAGGAAATAGGCCTCTCTGAAAGTTACATATGTAAACAAAAGTTCATGAAAATTTTCTCCCCAAACATTGCATTTGATCTTCTGAAAGTTCAGTTTCTTTGATCAGCAATCACTAAACCTCAAATGTTAATCACTGATGAAGAAAACCTAGAAATAATCTAACTAGAAGACTTGAAACTAAAACGAGCATAGTCCCTACTAGTGTAAATGGAAATGTTAACATATAATCAGTCAAGAGCACTTATGGAGCATAGCCTGGAAAGATACTTGGACAACTTTAAACAGAGATGCCATAATCCCTAATCTCAAGTAATTGCTGATAATAAGAGTTCGGGCCATTATAAATAGCTGCAGTTATGAAGTCATTCAAGGGTAGCAATTTTCAAGTTATAAAAGTTTGAGAAATTCAAGATACTTAATGGCTCAATGACAAGAAAGCAGACCGGACTAATGAGAAAAAAACACAAAGACGTTGAGACCTGAAACTCTACAGGAAAGGAGGTGGAAGTGGTGAAACTTAGTAGGTTGGTTAAGAGAAGAAGAAGGTAGAAAAGTGTGAGTGGCCGTCTCGAGACACTGGAAAGCACAAACTGAGATTCAGATCACACTGACAACGTCTCTTTCCTGGGGAGGCCACCTTTGTGCCCAGGAAGAAGTAAAATTATCTCTGTTTGCAGATAATGTGATCACATATGTCTAAAACCCTAAAAACTCCACCAAAAAAAAAAAAAACAGAATAAATGAATTCAGTAAAGTGGCAGAATACAAAATCAATGTACGAAAATCAATTGAGTTTCTGTACACGAGGTATCCAAAAAGGAAATTAAGAAAACAATCCCATTGACAATAGCAAAAAAGAATAAAATACTTAGGAATAAACTTAACCAAGGAGGTGAAAGACTTGCACTGAAAATGATAAAGCAACTTACTCTTTCTTGAGTACTGCCTTGCCACCTTTGCTCAAGAATCAATAGTGGCTTTCTTTGAGTGTTATACGAGATCCGGAATTCCACCAAGTTATCACTTAATTTAACCTATCTCGTGCCACATGGATCCACAACTCAGACTCTGTCCCAGCCCAGCCGTTTGATTGCAGCCATGTCCCCAGCCCCGCAAATCCTGTGTTACTCCCCACAACCTGCCTTATCCTGATTCCTCAGCTCTAATCACTGATGCTTCATATACAGCTTGGTTCAGCTGAGTGGCCTCGTGGCTGGAAGAAGATTGCACAAGGACCTGAGTAAATATACTTATCAGTGGCAAACACAAGTTTGTTGAAAACTAATCTCCAGAACTTTCTGTGCAAGCTGATTTCATTTCTTTGTCTATGTTCTTTTTATCATCAATAAGCTCAGTTTAAACAAGAGTAGTCTACACATCATTTCGGTTAACAGTAAAAGACTTCTTAATAAATTCTTTTGGTGCCACCTAAAATGCTTCTTTCATGACTGATGAAAATCTGGAGGATATTGAGGGCCAAAAATTATTTTGGTCACTATCAGTGGACACACACTGTCCCCTGTTCCTTGCCCTTGCATTCAGACAAGTTTCAAATTCAGAAAAATCAATCTAGAACTATTTTAAAAGTTGAGGAAAGACCTCCTATGCGTGTGTCCGTGTGTGTATGAATATGAGAGCCCTGAAAATCTTTCTTTTAGATCCAGTACTATGTCCTATAGAAGAAGTTGATGGGAACTAACAAAAGCATGCACAGCCATTTATAAAATCTGTGTCACAAGCACCTTTCCCTTGACAGCTGAAATTAATTAAATCTGCTCCACATCTCATACCTGTCTCTCTGCTTTAATATCTACATTGATTTTTGACCAAACAGCCTCAAGACTTGAAATAATCAAGTGGCCCCAGAGAAAGCACAAATGATCTATTTTGTTCTACGTCTAATTTTTTATGTTCAATCTTTCATTTATAGTAATTGAAAAAAGGAATTAAACCAAAACATCCAGTCAATGGCTATCACCTTCTGTCAATTATAAGTTTTTACTAATGGATGTAAGGCCCAGTTGATATTCTTTCAATTTGTCAACTGAGTGTCAAAAAGCCATTTGCAACATGGACACTAATAATACTAACCATTAAATTCAATCATCTTCATTTCATTGGCAGATGTTTGACACTTTATAATTTATGTACAAAGACATAGTTTTGTGCAAGAAACTTAGTCATGTTTGGATGAATGCGTGACATTTTTATTAATTAGTGAGAGTTAAATAATTACACCTCTTAAAAATCTATTACCTTCATTTTCTCTATGATTGAAGATGTTTATAATTACTTTTTTGGCATATAACGGACAAGGTCTTAATTTCATATGTCTTTGAAAATGATTCTTGATGACATTTTTCTGAATAGAACATTTTCTGGTCTTGGTCTCTAAGAAAAGGTTAGTGTCTGTTTTCACTCTTTCTTCTGGCCAGGTTAAAAAAACACTCCGTTCTGCAAGGTTTTTTTTAGGTAAAAAGTATTTCCTGTCTATGTTGGAAGGAATAGAGTCAACGTTTAAAATGAGGACTCTTTGCTAATTTTTCCTCCCCCAAATATTCCATCAACTGCTCTTTTGCATTAGTTCTAGGTCCCCTGTATGTCTCACTCACAGTTCCTATTGTCATTCAGAGGAACAAAGAAGGCTTGATGTGGTGAAGGTGATTGTTCATTAAAAAGAAATAAAAACTGCCATCCTCTGGCAAACTTCCCCCTTGTTCCACACAGCTGCCGCAGCAGCAGCAGTAGAGGCTGCTGTTTACACAAAACCTTTTCTTCTTCATTTTTGATGCAGGAAGAAATATCAGTCTGCAACATAAGCAGTCTGTGGTGGGGCAGCCCAAGCCTAAGAAGTCTTGGCTCTAAAAGTCTAAACACAAGTCAAGGTAAATGAACTGGTTGATGGCATATGAAGGACAGAGAGAGAAAGGGAGGAAGGAAGGAAGGAAAAAAGGAAGAAAAGGAGAGAGAATGAGAAAAGGGGAGAACAAAGTGAAACAAAATCCCTACCACCAGTAAACGTGAATTCTGGTCCCTGACATGTCTTCCAGCAGAGAGGAAGCCTGCCCAGAGGCAGAAGTGAGAGTCTGAAATTGCTTTCCTCCCACTCGATTGTAATACAGGCCCTAGAAAGACCTCTCTCTCTCTATAAGGGCCTGTCTATATTTGCACTTCTGTAAGTGAAAAAAAAAAATCACTTTTTTTAGGTAAGAAATAATGTTCTCACTCTCATACAAGGGTGGATCTAGGTCTTGTGGGGCCTGAAGCTCACGAGATTGAAGACTTCATTACAGCAAAGGAGACAAATCACTAATATAAAAGTTGTGAAGTGCCTTGGGCAGGGCCTGCCCAGGTGGAAACCTTGAAGGTCAGTTTTGTTAGACGTAGGGTTGGTCTGTTTCTGTGCCCAAGTTGAAAACGCCTGAGAGAAACAAGGCTCGGATCAGGCAAACTGGCAACCACATTATCAAATACCCATGGAATCCCACACAACTCGATCTAGCACTGTCTTGCTATCACTGGGGATACCAGGGCATTCCGACACCTCGTCAGCACCATCCACGATGTTAATGTAATTGAGAAGATAGGCGTTATATAGCTGAAGCATGTAGGCTGCTGATACCATGTGTTTTTCAGACTTTTACTGAATTTTTTTTTTCAAATTTCAAGAATGTGGCAGATAAGAAAACAGGGAAGATTTTTATTGTTATATTTGTAATTAATAGATTTGTAAGAAAAAGGAATGCTAAATACTAAAATTTAATAATGGCCAACTCACCTAAATTCAACCATTAAAAAAAAATACTGAACGTTACTCACATTCAATGGACATGTTTACCATAAACGAAAAGAACAACGGAGGCCTATCCACAGTGGTTGGCTATTTCTGTTTTTGACGCCCGAAGACGCCTGTTAGCACTCACCGTCAGTCACGGTCAGCCTCACAACGAAGGTTTCGTTCTCTCCGGTGCTGGCCTGGAAGCAGCAGCGGTAAAATCCCGAGTCAGAGACAGTGACGTTCGGAATGATGATGAAACTTCCCCTGCTTCCCTGGGTGCAGGTGGTCAGTATTTGTCTTTGGTATTTTGAGGTGTAATTTCTGCCTTGGAACAAATTGCAGCAAGTTAAGAGGTCGATCTGATGGGGCTGGATCTTTTCCCACGTAACCTGTTGCACTGGCCACTTCGTTTGAAGCTGACAGAGGAGTGTGACGTTTTTTCCAGGTTCTGAGATTACGTGGCTAGTTGATGGCACGGCTATGTCAAAACTATCTGAAAAGAAGAAGTAAATGATCAGACATAGTTTGTCAGATTTTTGGACACACAAGTGGAAACTACCCAGAAAGTTCTATCAAAATGATCGGCGATGCCATTTAACTTAGTTTCATTGATTGTAAATGATAACTTTATATCACATTTTTGTAAGTGAAAGGATTTTTTTTAAGGCTGGGGAGATAACTAGAAAAGAGGATGCATGTTCACACCTAATGTCTTAAGTGTTACTTGGTTAACCATGTAATGAGAAACCAAAACCCCTGGTGCTTTTTCTTGATAGTGATCACACCAAGAGGCCGAATTTCACTATGAGACTCTTGTGCAGGCGGGTGACTCAAACACTGGCTTTGAGCATCAAATGCCCGGTTATAATCACACTGGCTAAGATTTGAATGGTCATACAAAGATGCCAAATCATTTCCACTGAATACGTACATAAACTCATTTTTCCGATGTACAGGACTGTCTTATGCACAGGTAAAGTAGGGACCGACAGATGGTATGAATTGCTGGTACCAGGAAAATCCTCCAGTATTCTCCCACCTTCCCGACAACACTTCTGGGCTTCCCAGCACAAAGTTCTCAGTAAATTATCACCAAATATCTACGTCAGCCGTTCTCACAGTGTGTGTTGAGGACCCAGGGGATGCCCATGTCCCTTTCAGGGATCTGCCTGGTCAAACCTATTTTCACGGTAATATTAAGAAATATTATAATTTAACTTCATCACTCTCATTCTCTCACGAGTATACAGGAGATACTTCCAGAGGCTCTGATGGCTAACGGATATGTGCTTGAAAACTTTTGTGTTTTAAATATTGCTCGATATTAATTTCTAATATAGTAAATATTAATATGACGGATATAACCGATACTCCTTGGGCATCCTCAATAATTTTTAAGAGTATAAAGGGGTCCTGAGACCGAAAAGTTGGGAATCTGAGCAAGATAAACTTCAGGAATGATTTCTCAAAATTAAGATTGCCCAGAGGTGTAATGCGTGGACCTATTTACTAGTGGTTAACACCTTCTTTTATCTTATATCTTTACTGCTGCCAGCAAAGAATTCTGACCTACTGCTTACACAGAGAAGGAGTCCGGGGTGGTGATGATGTCACCAAGCTCACTGGCACTAGAGGAGGAATGCAAAAAGTGACAAAACATATGTCATTTTATCTATGTGACAGTTTTGCTCAGGGTTGGCCCAGGAGCCACTGTCTTGGCTTTCGACAAAAGAAAATAAGAAAGAGAGAAGGCGGGGGGTGAGGTAGCAAAAGAGAGCAATAGAGGGAGGAAAAGAGAGAGAGAAAGAGAAAGGAAGGAGGGAGAGAAGTGAGAAAGGCAGGAAGGACAGAAGGAAGGAAGAGAGAGAGGGAGAAAGGAAAACAAGTGAAAGAAGAAGGTATCACATTTGAAAGAAAGAGTGAACGTACATCTAAAATACAATAAGACGTGCTCCCTATCACATATTAAACTAGGACACTATGTCTATGATAGTAGCATCGCCACTGGAAACGAGCTTCAGCAGGTGGTTCCAAGTGTCAAAATGCTGCAAAGAGGAAACCTTGGCACTCAAGTTTTTTGTCTGCAACCAAACAGCTGCTTACCAAAGTTAACACTTTACCCACATAACAGGCAGACAGAAAACATTTCATCTCTAAGTAATAAACCAACACAAGAAAAGGGAAGGAAAAGAAGGCAGAAAATTCATAAGAAATGGAAAAAGAAAGAAAATAAAAGCTTAAAGGAAACAAAAGGCAAATTAAAATAAAAATTAAGACAAAGAAAAGAAGGAAATGAGGGGCAATATAAAGAAAAGGCTAAATCAGATACTAGCACAGTGTGTTGGAAAAATGAACTAACATAAAAGAGATGAGAAAAAAGAAAAGAAAAAGCGAATTTTTACTCAAGCCATTCTGGACCTTTGGAAGTGAGAGGCAGGCCAGCCCTGGCACGGGTTGGATGTGTGTCTTCAGGACTCACGCTCACAACTATTCTGGAGGAAGGATAGAGGAAGGATGCCTCCTTCCTCCAATCCCAGGAGTTCTCTTTATCTGCCCATCTAACCAAACTGCTCTCAGGAAGCAACCCCACATACCTGCTGACTGAGGTGCACAGTGGCGTGTGGAGAAAGGCTCCAGTGGTGAGTGGCCAGGCCTCAGGGCCATGGAGGCAGCTGTCTTTAGAGGGGCAGAGTGCAGGGAGTTTACGGCAGAGGCTCCAGGTAAGGACCCAGACCCCCAGTCCAACAGACTGAGACGGAACTGGAAGCAGCAGGGCCCCATCCCCAGAGGCAGGTGGTTCGGAAGCACAGAGCAGTCCCCGGCTAACCCTTCCTGATCAGAGTGACTGGTTGGTGTCAGAAGAAATCAAACCCCACACGAGGTCTGCAGAACCTCCCGTGCCTCAGATGTTGCTTGTGGCTGTTTGGATGCCCAGGTCCTCTGCACAGGCTGATGGAAGGCTGCCCAAAGTGACCTTGAAAACAGCAATTAAGAAGAGCCCGTGCAAACAAGAAAACCCCAGCATCCAGACAAACTTAGAATTGGAAAGTGAATCCATGTAAACAGGGACCAAGATGTCACAGTTAATTGGGAAGAAAAAAAGGTTGACTTGAATTTAATCCTAAAATAGAAACAAAAGTAATAAAAGCCAATTTATTCTATACTTATATTTAGCTATGTATTAATTCTTAGAATAAACACAGAATAGACTGGGTTGTTTTTACATGATTTGTACTACAGGATTTCATGATGAAGTATTCTGTATCTTGTGTCTGACTTTTCTGGCAAGATAATAGATCATTCTTGAAAATTATTTCAGTGTTTCATCACCTTCTCCAAGCCCCACTTGGTCCCAAACATTGCTGGGCACATCATTCCACACGAGGCCCTTGCATGCCAGCACATCCCCAGCTGCTCACCTGTCCACCTTGCTGTCCTCACTGGCCAACAGCTCTGCAAAATCCTTTACCAGCTTCACAAAGCCCTGCACCTTTTTACTATCACCTTATAAGCCCAAACTTCCATATAGATAGACCTTTGTACAATATACCACTTAGAACCATGTTTGGCATAGAGTAGTCAATCAATATTTTTTGAATAAAAAACTATTTACAATTTCACCTTGCAGTCAATATGCAATGTATTTTTATTGATTTGAGGGGTATTTATGTCTACAATAACCTGATATTAAGAAATGTATTTAAAATGATATTTATCATGCCTAGGCAACAATTATCAGTGTCTGCAAATTCACAAAAATACATTGATGTTTCCACAATACAACCTTAGAATTGGCAGCCTTGCTAAAATAATCAAACCTGATGTTGATCAAGCCTCCAAATGTAACCACCAATTTCCAGAACTACAAAGAGCAGAGAAATGTGCTAAATGACACCAGGGGAAAGCAATCCATGGGAACACAGTAAACTCAAAGTAACAACAAAAGAATTGAGGAGAGAAAGAACAAGGAAGGAACCTACAGGGTAGAAGAGATGCAAGAGACACATCAAACAGTTACAATACGTGGAACTTGGAAAAGGGCATAGTCACAGAACAACTGGAGAAATATGAAGTAGATATTTAATAATTTTAAGGATTATTGCTGTTTTTCTGGGGGCGAGAGGATGATGGCATCATGTTTATGTTAAAAAATGGACTCCTCATCTTTAGAGAGTCAGGCTGAAATATTTATAGACGAGATCATAGAACAGCTGGAATTTGCTTCAAAATAACCAAGGAGAAGAGCGAGTGTGGGAAAATACAGAACAATATCATCGACCTGAACTTGACAGTCGGTGAAGCTACGCGATGGTCACGTGGCAATTCATTACACTGCTCTTTGTGTTCGTATATGTGTTAGAAACGTCCACATCAAAAGTCTTAAAAATATTTGTACAGGATTTGAGAAGTGAGAGAACTGACCTAACAGGAAGTACCTGCTTTGTGAAAGGTACTTCCCACACCCAACCTCTAATCCTCGTAACAACATAAGCCGATGGGTATTAATGTGCCTGTTTCACTGATGAAAAAAATACTTACACAGCTTTCCCAAAGAGCTGTGCTGGCAATAGCAGAATCAGAAATCAGACAAATTCGTTTGGTTTTACAGCCCTCACATGCTTCACGACAGAACACTGCCACCTTTAAACTCTCCCCTCCATCTTCAACCTCTGCTTCTAAATGGGCTCTTCCCTCACCTCTAAATAGGATCTTTCTCCCACCCCTGAAGACCAACTTTGGGTGGATGCTGGGTGCCATCCGATCTGTTTCTTCTTCCCTGTTCATTCAGAATTTGGGAAGGTGCGTCTCCATCCTGACTCTGCCTCCTCACGTCTCGCGAGTGCCTCAACACAAACAACCATCCATTTCCACCATTCGGCCGAGACTGCAGATGTCACCAATGTTCCTGGCCTTGAACACTAGATGTCCAGCCCTCCGGGAAGCACTCTAACCCTTGACTTCTGTGACATGGCGCCTTCCCGCTTCTCCTCTCTCTTTTCTAACCTCCCCCCACTGTCTCCTTCAGGGTTTCTCTTCCTCTGTTGGTCCTTTTAAAACGCGGTTGTGCCCCAGGATTCCACTGCTCTTCCCTCTCTTCTCTCCATCCCTGGGTAGCTGCCCACTCTCACTAATCAACCACCGTTTACATGGGGATGACGTGGAAATCATTATCTCCTGCTCAATCAGACCTCTCCCCAGGGCTCCTAAAGCACTAAACAAAAACTCGATCTTATGATGTTTAAAACAGATGAAAAATTGAACAGCCCAGGATTGCCCTGAGCCGTCTGCAGGAGCACTATGGTTACGCCAGCTAATTAGAAGTGACGGCAGTAGTAGCTTCACATATTCCCAACTGCGCCTAGACTACGAATATGCTTAGCTGAGAACTTTTCTAAAAACTCTTAGCAGTGACCCACATAAATACAAAATAAAATGTTGACTACATGATGACTAAGGAGGTGTTCTAAAGCAGCCTGACATAAAGCTCTCAAA